TAATGAAAAATTATACAGATAGTGAACAAAGTCTTCAATCCCACGCATCGAGCACGCACGGACGCACACACGCGCACCAGCTGATGGTCGTCTGGCAGGGAGGCTCGAGGAGGCGAGGTCGACCACCAAACACAGAACCTTCACGTCTTCTCCTCACTTCCTGTGACTCAGTTCCTCTATGTCTTGCTGAGGGAGGGAATAGCACTTGGAGGAATCAGGTCCGCCAGGTAACACAGGTGAGGTCCTGCCAGATTCGCGCAGGTGAGAACAGGAAGGGGATCTTTACACAAGGGGTTTTATAAGGGCATTGATTGTGTTTTAAGGCTTGAGGTTTGACAGATAACACGTCAATGTAGCCATGGTTTCAGTGCTCAGGAGACGAGGAGGAGGATAATTAAGTCCCTCGCTTTGAAAAAATGGATGTATGATTCTTTTTCCTTTTGGTTTAGAGAGATAGAGAGAGGGATATTAACGAGACTCGTGGAATCTCAGTGGGAAAAGAATGGCGCAAAGAGAATTTACAAATGTATTTAATAACCACTAGTGAAGAAATAGGTAAATTTTGTGACTGTACCGCCACCCAATATAAGATGTGAAGGTATTTATACAAAAGAAGGAAACATATAAGCATTGCAATTGAAGTGTTTTTGGGTGTTTTTTGTTCAGTTGCAGTGGGTGACAATGGTTTTTGTGCCTTTATGGAAAGGAAGTTCGAGCTGTGGTCAGTCTTGTTTCAAGGTCTAGGTAAGGGCAGCTAGAAAGGTCATTTAGTGTGGAAGATTCCTGTGTGAAAATAGTGTAGATAGGGAAGATGATGAGTGGAATTTGTGTGAAACAGGATTTTGAGAATGTTTTTCTTTGTTAAGGTAATTACTAGGAATGAGTCTGTCATTTGATGTGTTAGTTCACTATATTTGTCCAGTATTGACCTATTGTTTTTATTTGTGCTCGTGCTAAAAAGGAGCTACTCCCTGCCATATTGGGTTTCCAAGAAAGGCGAAAAGTAATGTCCTTGTTCAAGAAGAAATGAGAAGCAGGCATGTAAACCTTGGGTCATATACCCCTTAATGGGCATGAAAGAATATGACAGGAAGTTGTACAAGCCAGTGGCCAATATGACCATGGTGGTTGCTTTGTAATTTCCCACTTTATGTGTTCTTTTTGGAGTAATAATTTTGTTTAGACATATATTTATAGTACACAAAAAAACAATACATAGAGTTGATGGATCAATATATTCTAATGCATTGCTTGATAAATGTTTTGAAGATTTGCATCTGCCATAGACTTCTTGCCAATATGCTCAATCTTCATCCCCGGTCAGTGCCGTGGTAACTGTGAACAAAATTCTACCCCCTATATTCTGGGATGAAAGAGCCTGTCAGTATCCCAAGCATCCTATTGTAAAAAGTGGTACCAGTTGAGGTTCTTGTATTCCGATATGTTCTGATATCATTCTTTTCCTCCTTCTCCTCCTTCTCCACTTCCTCCTCCTCCTCCTTCTCCACTTCCTCCTCCTCCTCCTTCTCCACTTCCTCCCTCCTCCTCCTTCACTTCACTCCTCCTCCTCCTCCTTCTCCACTTCCTCCTCCTCCTCCTTCTCCAACTCCTCCTCCTCCTCCTCGTCCTCGTCTCTCCTCCTCTCTCTCCTCCTCCTCCTCCTCCTCCTCCTCCTCCTCCTCTTTCTCCTCCTCCTCCTCCTCCTCCTCTTCCTCCTCCTCCTCCTCCTCCTCCTCCTCGCTCATAGCATTGAGGCTACTGTGAGCACTTCACATTATCATTTTGGACCATAGGTTTTTGGTTGCCAGTTGGTTGTATATAATGGCAAAATTCAAATAAATTTTGATAGATTACAGCCAATATAAGTACAAAAATTGGTATATTCTATACATTTAACAATTTCCCAAATTTATCTAGTTTTGAAGATTTATACAGAAAAAGTGTAAAATAAACATAACTTCGTAGATGTAGCCAAGTGATTTCCACTGACCTGTATGATCTTGGAGCAAAGGCCAACAAACCTCCTCACCTTGAACTGAATTTATGTCTAAAACTTAAATTATACTTCATTTTAATATTCCACTTTTCTAACTTCATGGTGCCAAATATACAAGAACCAGTCTTTATCAAATAATATGCTAAGACCAGTCTGTAATATCATTCAGTTTCAAAGTTTTACCTTTATGGCAGGTTGCAATACATACAGATATAATGTCGACTGTTTTCTGCTGTACTTTTTATCATTTTTGCAATACCTAGCGGGAGACTTGTTCTTAACCTTTACCCATGCTGAGTATCAGCTTTTAGGTTGATAAGGTTAGAGTTCTGTTTACATTGCATAAAGTGCAAGTAAGGAAGAAGCATATTTAGTTGTGTGTAATTAGACGTGCAAATTTTGAAGGTATCTTTTTTGTTTCATCTGTTCATCTTTCTTTTCTTTTTATTTCCGTGACTAGATTTTAGATGTTATGCTGAATTATATTCAATTTTTTTTTAAGATGTGAAATTAAACTAGTTATAGTTTCAAAATGGGATAAGGTAAAACTATTAGATATCTGTTTGGTAGATTTTTTACTAAAGATTAAAAGCAAATTCATAATACATGTTCTCATAGTGTCAGAAATTCATGAGTTATGGCTGAATGCAAGAAGAGAGGATTTATTATCATAATCTTATGTGTTAGTTTATGGTATTGATCTTTGTAATTTTTTTATCTTGTTATCAGCATCATCATTGCTCCTCCTCCTCTGTCTTTTTTGTTGTTGTTTTACTTCTCCTTTTCTTTCTCATTCTCTCCTCCTCCTCCTCCACCTCCTACTCCTCCTCCTCCTCCTCCTCCTCCTCCTCCTCCTCCTCCTCCTCCTCCTCTTCATTGTTTTCCTCTTCCTCCTCCTCCTCCTCCTCCTCCTCCTCCTCTTCATTATTTTCCTTCTCCTCCTCCTCCTTGTTCTCCTCCTTGTTTTCCTCCTCGTTCTCTATGTTCTCCTCCTCGTTCTTCTCCTCCAACTCATTCTTCATTCTCCTTCTCTCCTCCTTCATCATCATCATCATCATCGTCATCATCATCGTCATCTCATCTCATCATCATCATCATCATCATCATCATCATCATCATCTCATCATCATCGTCATCTCTCTCTCCTTTTTCCTCCTCCTCCTCATTCATCCCTCCTCCTCCTCCTCCTCATTCTCTCTCCTCCTCCTCCTTTTTCCTCTTCTCCTCTTCTTTTCCTCCTTCCCTCCTCTCCTCCTTCTCCTCATTCTTTTCCTCCTCCTCATCATTCTTTTCTCTTTCTCCTCATTCTTTTCCTCTTTCTCCTCCTCCTCATTCTTTCCTCCTCCTTCTCATTCTTTTCCTCCTCCTCATTCTTTTCCTCCTCCTCCTCCTCATCCTTTTCCTCCTCCTCCTCCTCCTCATCCTTTTCCTCCTCCTCCTCATTCTTTTCTCCTTCTCTTTCTCCTCTCCTCATTCTCCTACTCAACCTTGGTATTAACATTAACAATGATATGATTAATAACACCATGACATATAACTTTGGATAGTAGTTAAGCATTAATCAGCTCTAGAAATAAAAAATGTACGGTATATATAATGATAACAGATGCATCAAAGGAAGAACAATAATTACGCATAGTATTATTACATGGAAAAATGTTTCATTAGAGAACCCATGAAAAATATAATATACCATTATTGTTCTATGCAATACTCTCTTGTTTTCTGCGTGAATTCTGCGTGAATTTGTGCTGCTTCGTGGGATCGCTGTCATTCTTTTTGTTTTTATTGGTATTGTTATTGTTCATACCGTCAGTTATTATTGTTGTTGTTATTATTTTGTTTATTTGATTTTTGTTATTGTTGTTGTTACTATTATTGTTTTTGTTGTTATTGTTATTATTTTTGTTATTATTATTATTATTGTTGTTATTCTTATTGTTGTTACTGTTCATGTTAAGTTAACTGTTATATTACTACTGTTACTATATTACTATTACTTTATTTATATTATTATTACTCTTATTATTATTATCACTATTATTTGTGGTAGTATTGTTATTATTATTGTTATTGTTTGTCATATCTGTTATTCATATTGTAACTGTTACTGTCACCATTGTTAATTTTATTAATAATATTAGTATCAGTGTTGTTATTAAAAAGATGGAAAAAATGGCGCATAGCTGTAGCTTATAGGTTCTATACGTTGCCACCTACCTGTCTGTTCTAGAAATAGTTGGGGTTCTATTCTCTCGCAGTTTCAGAGAGATTCGAACTGGATTGTTGATATTATCATGTCAACTTAGTTTCTTTGATTTTCATTTTTGTGTTTATTGTGTAATTTATGTTTCCATTAGATATATGTCAACTTATTATGTGTTTATTTTGGTTCATTCATTTTCCAATCCTATAATGAATCAAAAGGTCGTACCATTTGGAAAATTTATTGAATTTAGTGTAAGAATTTGTGTCAGATTTGTGAAATTGTGTGTATTCATGATTTAATAATTTGTTGCGTTGACCTGGAAGTGTTATGAAACCTTTATTGCATGTTAAGGTCATTGTGAAGATTAGATGTTGTGACGTAAATTTGGGAAATTTAATTCTTAATGGGTGTAATATTACAGAAAGAGCTGTTGCATTGTAGCTTGTGATTGAAAAATGTACTCTGAAATCTATCTGTCTGTCTGCCTGTCTATCTATCTATCTATCTATCTATCTATCTATCTATCTATCTATCTATCTATCTATCTATCTATCTATCTAATATGGCAGATTAATGTTTGAACAGGAAGTGACACATAAAAGTAAGATTTATATGGTTCCTTTTAGACTGTCAATTTACTTATTCACTTTAAACATTTACTTGCATGATTACTTATGTCACGAATCTCCTGTTACAGCTATGGAGCAAGAGGTGCTAATTCGAGTGACAAACTCATCCCCCTACAAAGCTTCTTTGAAGATTCATGCCTTCAAAACGACAAAATGGAGAAGAAGAACGCCTGAAGAATGTAAGTGTTGTATTAAGTTTTGCCAGGGTGTTAGCTGTGTTCTAGGATGTTGCCATAATCACTGGTATATGGTCAGGTGAAATTAGTCATACCTACTACGTGTCTAGGATCAGTTAAAATCTCGTTTCTCACTGGATGGAAGATGCCTGCCGTAATTCAGGGGTCTGCAGTTATTTGGAATGAAAATATGTTTTTTTTTTTTTTTTTTTTTTTTTTTTTTTTACATTGTAACAATTATTTTGTGAGTAAAGATAATCAGTCAAGGTTAGTGTTACATTGGTTTTCACACCAAAATGTGAAACTTAAGTACTGCCAGGTTTGCAGTTTGTTACTTTTACTTAATTTGATGGACTAAAATATTTTGTACATTTCTTTAAACTGTGTTTATGACATATAAGATACAAGACTGTTTATTTATTTGAAATTTATATTTCTCAGTACTGTCCAGTTAATTAGAATAGATGAGTCATCAGATATTCCCCCTTAATGTAAGATGAATCAATTGGCAGAGTGGGAGGAGGTTGTTCATTTTGCCTTGCTTTAGTATGCCATTTTATACAGTATAAAGCATTTTCTTGTATGTACTACTAAGAGTAAACGTAGAATAAATTGGAATTGTACGTTTTTTTCCCGATATGGAACATGAATGACCAGACAGTGAAGCCTAGTGTGTTGATAAAATGCCTGATAGGTCCATGATACACAAAATCATATCTGACTGAAAAGATGAATCTAGTAGGATTTTGACAATTGTATCTCACTTTTCAGTAAACATATATTTAGTAGTTTTTTTTAGCCAGTATAAAACATGCATCTCATTTGCTTTCTTATTATTTTAATTGGCAGTGGAAGCTCTCTCACTCAGCAGCCTACGAGTGCTGAAGAAGGAAATCGAGAATATTGCTCAGGGTAAGGACAAAATTGTCTTTGTTTGCAGTCTTATTTTAAAGTTTTTTCTTTTTTTTTTTTACTAAACTTTTTATTATTTAGCATTGGGCATCTTCTGTAGCGGCCTTAACTCTTAACCCACTGGCTGCGGATGGCATCATATGATGCACCGTGCAATTAAAAGCTGATCCCCTTCGAGCAGCGGGCGGCTGCGCGGCATGGGAGCTGAGTGGGCCAGGGAATATCAGCCGCCAAGCCGGCATTCCCCTTGTGGCCTTACAGAGCCCAGGCCCACCACCCCCGGGCCCGCGTGTGCGATGGGCTGTTTACCGCCAAATGAGTTGTTCGCCTATTGCGCGTGCTAAAACCACACCCGCCACTCTTTCTGAGCGCATTTACATGTGTTTGCATGTTTGCATGTATTTGCAAGGGTTTTTGCAAATTTTTGCATACATATTTTTTCGCAGATATAAGTAAACAAAATATTTGCGCGAAAGAGGGAAGGCAGCACCACTGCGCGCGTGCACACTCAAGTGCGGTCCCATACGCCACCCGAGTTGAAAATAATGAAAATTAGGGGATTACGCGCCATATTGCATAATACCGCGACCAATGGGTTAATGCCGTATTTAATTTAATCCTAATCCTAAAGGTGATTGTTATAGAAAGTTGTAGTCAGTCACTCAAGATGCAGTTTGATCTTCATATGATAATTACGAGGCACAAGTAGGCTTACTTATAAGGGAAACATGATTATTTATGAAATATTCTATCTTTTCCATGATAACAATCTTATATTTATAGTAGTAAAATGGGTAACGAAACTGCTCTAACAACTATAAAACCAATCTTTATTTCAATGACACTCAAATACAAAAATGACATTCATCAATTAATATCCATCACGCAATTTCCTCGGACAGCTCTTTGCTGCGTTGAATCGTGTTGGACGAGGGAAACATGTTTTCTTCAGGATGCTGTTCAGGTCCATAGAAAAGTATACTTATTAATTTTGTAGTTAAGAAAAGTAGTTAAGAAAAAACAGCACATAATTCTTCTTTAAAACACTGGTTCATATTTGATTTTAAACGTCAACTTGTGTGACCCTGACCATATAATTTTTGTTTCACTAACCTGGAAATATGGGTTCCATGCCCGCAGCCTTTGAACTTCAAAGATTCCTCGTGGGATTATAGTGGTTTTTATGTTCATTACCATAAGTTATTTCCTTTATCAGAATATTTTATCATTTTTGTAAATATATACAATTTCATTTTCATTATAAATACTAAGTATGAACTTTCTAAGACGATCGATGTTATTGCCGAAAATAACTCTGAATGGCAACTCAACCGATGGCACCCCTGAAGTTCATGACGGACACGTGACTTAACATTACATGATTGGTGGGATTAACTTGTCCCTTCTACGTATGTGCAGGATTAAAAATTGAGCTTAATATTAAAGCCTGGTCCAGAGGTGCATTAAAAGTTGATCCTAGACGCTGCCAATGCACATGCGCACTAGACATCTGGATTAAACTTTAATACTGGATTAACTTTTATGGCACGTACAGAAGACGCCCATTATCTCTATTTTTTAGTTAATTTTCTTAACCCTATCATGAATTTTTTGTGATGTAATATTACAGAGCAGTCTAGACTTTAGGCTAGGAATAAGCTGTCTACCAACGCATTGAGAGTCAAGACTTGTATATACATCATAGGCTCGTGTCATGACGGCCTCACCTGTACCCCGTCACTGAATATTGTATTATCATTTCACTTAAAGGGAAGCTGTTTAAACCTGAACATTCCATAAGACATGTAAAATATTTCTTTTGATTTCACTTCTTGCAAGGAAACCATAAATTTTTCATGGTCTAAATTTAATTTTCCCCAGAATAAACCTTCCTTATTTCTCCTCTTCTGTATCATTTCCATATGCTGCTTATTCAGACTTTAATATGCATAATAATATTTGATAGTTTTTGTCTCCTCCCTCACATTGATGTATTTTAACCATATCCCATGCTTCAGTGTATTTCTTCATTTTATACACGGAGGCTTGGATAATGAGGTCCTCATCTTGGTCTTTTCTACAGCAACTACTGTTATTAACAAGCTTCATATCTGCCACAAATTGCAGTCATTGTTCTTTGATTTTGTCAGCTATAGTTATTTCCTTATTTTAGATGTTCATGTTAGTCAGATGGCAAAAAATTCAGAAATTCATTATCAAGTTATTCTGTTTTTTATTTTATTCTACATACAATAATAATGGTGTAGTAAAAATAAATTGCATGCAGAGTTTAGAAATGTTATTCATTATTAATGTTTGATGCGGATCATGTTCTTATTCTTTGCATTATTAAGAATGCTGGGTAAACATTTGTTAGGATTGTTCTTTTTAACCTTGATCTAGTACACCTTCCAAAGGGTAATTGCATGAATTCTTTTCAGAGGCCTCGGGAGAGCTGGTAGGACTCCTACAGGAACGACAGGGTTTACAGGAGGAAGTAGACATAAGGTCCATTACCATTGAGCAGCTACTTAAATTTGCAGAGAGACGACAAGTCCAGCTCGGGGAGCCTCTGGCAATACAAATGAGTGTTGTAAGAAACCACCAAGAGGCTAATGCTGAGAGTGGACTTGGGTAGCAGAGATTATGGGGCTAGTACCAAGTGTGCTAGGCTAGTCATGGCCAGAAGCAGATAGGGATATGGAGATACTTTTGTTTTGCCATGATGAGAGGCCAGTAGGAAATTAGCTGTCATGCAAAAGTTAGGTACAACGTTTTGAAATATGACAATGAAGTGTGCTGCATTTCTGCTGAAATAACTTTTGTAAAATGAGATTCATTCCTATTTGCTATGTTGAAGTGAAAAGAATTTGCATATCAATGATATACACTTAATGATATTTATGTGTGGTTTGCCTTTATTCCATGTGATAGGAGTTGTGCTGGTAGATTTAACTTAATGTAAACACTTTTCCACTGGAAATCAAGTTTTGTAAGTACATTCCTTTGGCTACTGGATATTAGTTTGTTATTGTTGTGTGATAGATGAATGTGTGAATGTTTGTTTTAATACCTGTTTTCATTGATTATATTCTTCATTATTCTTTGAACGTTTGTTTCTAACACATGTGACTTGTGTAATGTAAGAAAGTCATGTTTCAGAGACGAGATGATTTTAGTATTACTAGTTTTTTAAAGACACTGTTAAATACACACTTTTCCTGGGGTAGATAGCAGAAGACATTGCTGTATATATAAAACTTTAATGCCCTCCATTGTCAGAAATAGGATGACAAATTTTGTTAGTCACCATCACAGTTTTTTTATTTTGACAGCAAGATATTTTTAGAATGCCTATTTTCAACATTTAATAACTAGAACTAAGATTTTCATCACTTTAATATGCCATATGGATTTTTTTTTTCATATTTATCTGTACCAGAGTGGGAAAATGTCTTAAGGAATTTGAATGAAAAGGTCAAGTTTGGTATGGTATATACTTAGATATATATTTTGTGGTTATTGCTTTCCTTTTGAGGAAAGCCTTTTATCCAACTCGGTTACTTCTATTTATGATCAATAAAAAATATTCTTTTATGACAGGTGTCTTCATAGATTGATTCATTGATGTTAGACTTTACTTATGTAATCTTACAGTATTCTTCACATGTATGCAAAGCATATTTTGGCCTGTCATACAGACACATTTCTTGTGAATATTTGTGAGGGATATCATTGTTTATGAATGATATCAAAGTTGGGTTACCAAAGAAAGGTATATAGGTCATTATAACCTGAAAAGCACATGCAAACTAGATCTTTTTGACTCGAAATTCCTTTGAACATGATTTTGTAGTAGTGCCAGCACAGTATAGTAACTAATAAAGTGGGACATCTTTATTGTTGCAGTTGTTTACAAGAAACACTTCACCTAAATAGGGAATCTTTATACTATCAGAAAAAATTTATGGGCTTTTTACACCCTCTATTTATCTCACTGAGGAAAGATTCCAATGCTTGCATATCCTTTCCTGTGTACTGCATGTAGATGTCTTCTCTTTTTTGTGTATAGTAGTAGGCATCAAAGGTTAAAAGAAAAATCTAATACAAAGTTTACGATTTAAAAAAAAAATTACAATACACTAGATTGGAATTGCCACTCTGAATCCAAACATAATATTTGACAACTTATGAGACAGGTATTCTGGCATATATTTTGAGAAATTTGTGGGATGTTGTATGAGAAAATCTTTATTTTATAGTTTTCATCGAAGGAGAGAAATTCTCATTGATATACGTAAGTTTTAGAAATCCAGGATGGCTCTCTTATACTCAGGTGGGCTGAAGGGAGAATGTGATTTTATTAAGATTAGCTGTTTATTTCTGTTGATTATTCTTTCTCTTTGGTTTTCCTGTTGGATATCTGTTCCTACGAGGGAAGAAAACTTTCCAGATTCTTTTGAAGACAATTCTTTTTTATGATAATCTTGTTGATAGGAAATGGATCATTTTCTTGATTTAATTAATAGTTATTTAATTTTAATAAAAAATATTCATTTGTATATATAATTATTAGTAGCAGCTATTACCATGTGTATATATATAAATATATAACTTTTTAAAATCTTTATATTTATCTTGTTCACATATATAGTTGAAAATGCAAAATGGATTTTTTAACTAGACATCAGTAATGTTTGCATAAAAAAATATTCATGTGTACTTTTTATGGCATTCCTCTTTTTTCTTTTGACATGAGTTACCAAGTACCAGCGTAATTTATCTTCTGGCTCCACATACCAGTAATTTCCTCCTTGGTGTGGAACCTTGTATCCTATTTTAATAATAGTATGAAATGTAGTACTTTTACTCGTTTTGACTTTTTGTTCATGGCCAAAGAATGTCAACTATTAGAATGTGTACTTTTGAGTGGAAATATTTTATGTAGCTGAATTTTGAGCAGTTACATTGTGGTAGTAGAGTATGCTTATCTGTATATTTGGTTGTGATATCTGGCAGTATTTACTCATATTTTAGGTTTGAATTGGTGGTTTGATAAGATGTTTAAGGGCATTAGACATGACATTTTGGTTTATTTGAACATTTCTAATACAGTATAAATGTTTGTGTGTCATTTAGATTTTGGAACTTTCCTCTCTTTTTTGAAGATATCTATAAATAAATGTCTCAAAGTATATTTGGTATAGAACATTTCTAGGCAATGCTTTATCAATATTCATAACTTTTCTGTATTTTTATGCAAATACCCAGTGTTTTCTTTACTGTTAAAACAAAATTATACGTTTCATTTATTAATAGATCTTCAAAAATGACTCGAGTGTATTTATAGATTGAGTTGAGTATAATGTTTGTGCAGTGTTCACTCAGAGGATATAAGAGTGAGTAAATTATGAAATATTGAAGAATTTACTTTTGTGAAAATACAGTTCATTGTGAATAATAAGCTATTAAGATATGTTCACTAATGATAGATAAGAAAGGTAATTTCAGTGTTTGTTGAAATACTTGAAAAATATAATAAAAAAGACAATTGGTGGTTGTGGCTCTTTATTTTTTGTAGTGCAGTTTGGAGATTTATGATATTATTAAGTGGATGTGCCAGAGTGGATTGGAGTGCCTGTCTGTTATATAACCTATATATCAGTGAACATGTCTTAAATGTACTTGCATTCACAGTGAAAGATTATTAGCTATATTATTTTTATGTAAATCCCATGCCCAGTATTATTCATATTATATCTTGTATTTTAATGATGTAATTATGTTTTCCTTGAATTCCATTCCATCCCATTTCCCACTGAGAAAAGACATCAAGTTCAGCGTTCATTGTTTAGGATTAACATCTTTGAGCCTTTACATTATTAGATGAGCTTAACCAAGCAACAGCTGAACTCTTTGATTACTCTAGACAAAAAATAAGGAAGTTAGACTTTACACAATACACTAAGCAAGTAGAATGTATGCAGAAAGGACTGGCAGTGATTTTTAACGAAGATTATGTCAATTATCTCTTGCCATATTATGCATCATCATGCAAGAAATTAAATGTTTTTATTGTTGGGGTTTGTCAAAAAAGATACTGTTTCTTTTTTAGACTATATATAATATAATATTTTTTTTTTTAAGTCTGATATTATTATTATTTAATAATACTTTGAGTGTTGAACTCCGTTTACAATTTTCATATCCAATAAAAGATCAGATTTGAATGGAACCTTTGTTCAAGAAAATTCAATTTGTACAATTTTTGAGGCACACACATGGTCAAACAGGGTGTTCATAAGTAGTCGGCACCTGGTGAAAATTTGCCGTCTGTCTGCCTTTTGATTGCTAGGTACTTTTAGCAGGACAATAAAGAAAAGATCTATTACTTTTATGCACCATTAAAACACTTGTCTTCAGATACACAGAAAATGTATCTGAGGGGTTGCATTTTGCTGAAACGCTTCACCTCACACCTTTGGCACTTGGTTGCCAGGCGTTGCCCAGCACAGGGTAGCCCCCTATTTATGGACCTAGGTAGCCTGCTACTATGAAAACTTTTGAACACCCTGGTTAAAATGTATGCAAATTTATATTTTGTTGGGAAAAGGCCCAACTTTATTCTTGTATGATCAATACAACAATTTCAAAGTACTTGTGTTATTAATTTATGCACATGATCTAAATATGTCATGTTACAAACATTTGATTGTGTAATATGACAAAACACATCAGGACCAGCTTCAAAAGGTATGTGTTGTCATTCATACAACACATTTCAAGACAATAAAGAGCTTTATTTTAATTGCGTGATGCAAATTAAGATAATGCTTTCTTTGCTGTATGTAATAGTAGTAGTAGTAGTAAAGTAATATGAATACCAAAGGTTCTGTCTGTGATAAAATTTTTATACTGCAGGGCCTTTGCCACTCTTTTTGAATCACATGTTTATATAAAAGTACTTTGATGCATCCTGTGTCCAGCTTTGATTTTTATGAGTTGCCTTTAGAGCAAAGTAGACCGTAAAGAAATAATTACAACTACTCATTGACATTTGACAGTGGATATCTGATGTGTGTTTATAGTTATATATGCTAATCTAAAGGCCTGACCACAAAAGCGGGCATGACCAATGTGCACATGGGCCGGCAAGCTACTAGGTATCGAGTTAGTTTCCCATTTTTCTCACTCATGTCTGCCAATCATACCCACTCATGTGGGCAGGCCTTAAAGCCTGTCTGCATAGGCGTGCAACTGTAAAAGTGACGTCACTGTTGAGACAACAAAGGAACAACTCGTTTACCAAGTAAGTTGTCTGCCCAGGATGTCTAAATTTGTGCTCACCTGTGTGGATAAGCCTCAAGATTTGACCTGATTGAGCTGGAGAAAATGCTACTTTTGAACCTAGATTACTATATATATATATATAAATTATCCTGAACTTTCATGTATCTTCAGCCTAGACATTGCCCTAGCTGTAATTGTGTTCAGTAATGTTGACCAACAATAAAGAAAACCCTGATCAAATGCCAGTGCAAAGAAAGGCAGTTGTCAGTGATATAATTTGCAAACTTATTGCGTGCCTCCCCAAATAAGTCAGGAAATGTATTTGTCGACCTGAATTTTGATAGAATATTCAAGCCTGTAATTAGCAAATAAAAATAACCATCGTATTTCTACACTGTAGAGCAGTTTATAGACAACTTTTCCAAATACCTGTACAAGTTATTGTGTAATATTGCAAGTTGTGTGATAAAAATCAAATATGGTAAAGACAGCTGTTTTAATATCCTAAAATATTACATTAGCTTTAATATTTATTGATGTTTTCTGGCGCATCAGCATCTAAGGTAATTGGTAGCAATATGGTGAGGCGTGTGGGCAAAACTCCTAGATAAAGAAAGGTCAGACAAAAAGTACCTATGCCTCTACTTGAACTTGATTGCTAAAAAAGATTGACTGCATGGTAATTTGTCCATTTACTATTTGATATGGATTGGTGACTGCCAGACACCAGCAACCTCTGTATAACACCCAACTTTGCTGGTTGAACGGGCAAAGTCCACAGAATATGACCAATGTTTAAAAAAAAAAAATGTAAATATTATGCAAGACATCTTTTTCAAGAAAGGTGTGCAGTGCATGGCCCTGAAAGACAAGCTTTGGATTTGGGACAAAATCAACAGGACTCAGTTAAGTGGAGAAAGAAAACAGAAAAAAGTCTCACCACTAGTTAAAAAATTTTATAACCTTATCAATGTCAGGGATAAGGATAACTGATAATCTTTTAAAGAAAAACAAGATTCCCAAAGACCATTCATCCATAGTGATGTCCATTGGTCAGATGTTCTTAAACTCATTTCATTTTCAACAGCTGCATATATTTCTTCAAGTTCAACACATTAATTTAGTTAACACCATTTATCTGCGACGAACATTATGAGGGATCCAATCTGTATTACTGATACCTATATCTAAACATACATCTAATAGAGGCATACAAGCAAAAATAATGATGGTAAGTTACTAAATGTTAAAATAAAATATTTATCTAAAAATTTAAAAATGTTATATTACACAAACCCTTTCTGAAATGTTTTTTCATGGAGAAATAATCAATGTGTTTTATTTGACTCGGGAAACTAAATCTGTACTTTTAGGCCACGGCAATTAATTTTTTTTGAATAGCAGGCAAGTCTGGTGATGAAATGTTGGCTGGAGGTACATAATCCCGCAACTAATGTTCTTAAATAATTCAGGTATTCAATGAAAAGCTTTTATTTGGATATTCCTCTTTCCACAATTCCATGCCAACCAAAACTACATAACCTGGTGAGAGCTACAGAATTATTTAAAAACTGTGTGAGTGAACAGGTGTATCTATGGCTTTATAGAGGGGGACGGGCAGAGGGAAGCAGGAAAAGAGGGAGATGTCCTCCTTTGCATTCCAAAACTGGGCAAGATCTATATTGAAGACTTTACCAACAATAGAATTGAAAGGAAAAAGAAAAGAGCAACTTTTTCTACAGGCTTTTATTTAGAACTTCTGGAACCTCTTCTTAGTACCAGGGGCAGAGGTGACCTTGAGTACGTTGTAACGAACTGTCTTGGAAAGAGGTCTGCACTCGCCAACTGTCACAATATCACCTGGCCTTACATCCCTAAAGGAGTAAATAGAATTATTATTTCAACTGCTCTTCAAACTGGCTTCACAGAATCCCATTCAGATATCTTTATCTACAATGATAATTACAATCAATCTGTTGCAACTGATATCAAGGCCCAACCAATAGTGTGAGAGACCGGATCTAAGTTGACGATTATTCTTCCTGGACTCTACACTGCAATGCCTATGGAGACACAGCAGGAAAAATGCCAGGGTGCAACTTTAATCCCTATAAAATTCTTACCTGAAGCAGGGCGAGATGTGGACAGACATGTTCTTATGCCTCTTCTCAAATCTGAAACAATCACATTTCTTGAAATTTATACTGCTACTCTGAGTATTTTAATATTAAAAAAAAACTGATCTTCCTTTCAGGTTTCTAATAAGGCTCAGTTCACTTTACTATCAAAATAGGGTGATTACAAATTCAGCAACTATTTCATATTCTAAATGAACTTGAAAGCCTTTCTTGAAAACTTACCGGTTGTACTTCTTGATGTAGTGCAAGTAATCACGACGAATCGTGATTGTCCTATTCATTTTCATCTTCTGGACAACACCAGTCAAGATGCGGCCACGGATGGGGACATTGCCGGTGAATGGGCACTTCTTGTCAATATAAGTGCCATCAATAGCCTGCAGACAATGGTAAAGAACAAGGTTTATTCGAGATACAAAATACACTATACTTGTACTCAGTATTTGGACTATAAACCAATATAAAAATAAGAGTACTTTACTTTAGCTATTTAAGCTTTCAAGCACAAAGGGCAGAAGCCAATTACTAAGATCAAGGTTGTAGAACAAAATTACGTTAACTACAGTCCTGAGTTTACTGCATATCTAAAAACTAGTAAAAGACAAATACAAGGGAGGTGGTGGGGTCACTAATAGAAATAAATGACATTCCGAATTTTCAACATCTAAAATGGGTGAAAAAAGACATTTAAGGGGACAGGATTAAAGAGACTGAGAGGTGAAGAAAGATCAGAGGGTGGTGGTTTAATTTTAAATCTACTTGGTAACATCAATTACCATGCTAAGACAAAAACAAACAATACTCTGAAAAAAAATATATATGAAGTATTTAAGCACTAATGTACTTCTGAAATATATTCAGCTATCAACCTATCATCATAATTAAAGTATGTACAACTAAGTGATTTCAAAGTTTGTAATAAAACCCTAATTAAGTACTAAATTGCATTCTAATTAATGAATGAACTAATCACTACCAAACCTAAAGGGAAAACCTGTGAAAATATTAATTCCTGTAAGTGCAATAGGGATTTAATCTCATGGCCAATGAAAAGCAACAGGTTTGAGATCCCCGAGTTATTAAGCTATTGTTAAGATAATAGGCATTACACAAATTAAATGTATGCACAGCATTCATAGCATTTCAATTCTTAAATACAAGCAAATTGCAAATAACAGTGAACACATGCCAAAGATTTAACACATGGCTGTTCTCCTTTGCAAGTAAAAATGAAATAAAAGTGAAATTGAGCAACTTTATAAACTTTGTAGGTACATCTATTCTCATAATCAAAATAGTAAGCTACTACCTCTCGTGGAGTCTTGAAGCCAAGCCCGACTTTGATGTTTTTACGCTTGGGTTTGCCCTTCTTAACCTTGTCGGGCTTGGCGGTATTGAAGATTTTGAGCTGCTTCTGGAAAGCCTTTTCACTCTGGAACAACCATGCAAGACTACCATCAAGAGGTTAAACACAAAAGCACGGACACATACTAAAAGTAACCTTGGAAGAGGATACTATTGGGAGAGGAAGAATCTTAAGAACCCATCATGAGTTAAAAGTTTCAATTCCAATGTCCTCTTCTAAGACTACTTTGTGCAGCACTAGGAAGGAAGGACGCGTGGCACATTTAGCTTGCGGAGGGTGGTTAGACCACAGCAAACAGAACACACACTACGTCAGCATGCCCTTTAGCTGGTCTCGCTAGGGATAGCAGCAACCTTGGCTGCCAGCTTACCTCGCGGGGGGCTTTGAAGCCCAGGCCCACCTGGCGAGTGTACCTTAAACTACGCTGCTTCTTTTTTAAGCCTTTTTTGCGGTTCAGTGGAACACCGGACTGCTTTTGGTAGGCACGTTCACTCTGCAATCAGCTATGGTGTTAATGTTTACTTAGCCATAGATGATCCAGACCAAAGTGGGTGAGCCATGTTTATTTGCAACAATTCTGATTTTTTTTTTTTTTTTTTTATTTAAGTCACTAGTTAATATGACCTATTAGTGGCCTTAATCTCAAGAGTTTAGTTAAAATGCACCCACTTTAGTCTGAGATCTAGGCTAAACTTCCTTGACAACCTGTAACATTCTAGAAATATTTTAGTAAACCAAGTTATAAATCTATAATACTAAATGGAATGTGGATTCAACAAGATTAATCAATTCTTTGTGAATTGGTTGACATTTAAAATCTTGTTCAAAGCTTAGACTGAAAAACTACTAGATCAATCTAGTACTTTGATCTAGCTCATTACTTTGTACTATACTAGCCTGAAACTGCATTACCAACAGTACCAAAAGAAATTGCGAGACACCTGCTGTGACTATTCCCACACTTTCAGTTCAAAGGCAAAAGCCATCAAATCAGTTATGCCTGGCAGATACAAACAAATGTGCAGTATCAAGTCTCATTTTCTCCCCTGTGCAATGTTATCTCAATCAAATGTGTTAAGGGATATCTTACACTAAATCCATTAAATTCATGTGCAGGCTTCTCTTGTGGACAGTAATAGGTAAGTCTGCATATGCAAATAAATAAGTATTATAAGACATTTGTCACCACCAATATCAAGGCCAAACCAACAATGCGAGTGACCGGATCTAAGTTGGTAATTTCTCTGCCTGGGCAATACTCTGCATTGCCTATTGAAAACAACGCAGGAAAAAGTGCCAGGGTGTCGATTTACTGTACAAATGCTCTTACCTCAATGGCTGCAGTTTGCAATATTTCCCAAGATCACTAATTTCATTTTTTTTGGTCCACAAATGAAAAATTAGTATAAATCTATAGACAAACTATAGAGAAACTCACAAATATGAAAAACTCCCAGAAAATGCCTAATATTAATTTTTTGTGATGTGGAGTTGGGGGACACTATTACATGTAATTACCAAGATTAATTATGTAAAGATGTCACCATGATGTACAATATACAAGAAAATGTGTGGTAAAATTGTTAGCCTTAGTAATGCTGCTAAAGGTGAGAATGTAACAGCAAGTGCTCGTATCACTTTTGGTCTCAAACTTTAGTTAACTTCAACTATGTAATACCTAAACTGATATCAATGATAACTGAAAAATAAAACAAGTAAATGCAAAATACTTGGAGATATTGAAAGGTTCTATATTTGGACAGCAAAATTCAAATTTTACAATCTCATTAAACTGCATTCATCATACAGCTTTATATGTGAATGCATTCAGATCTGGAATAGCCATTCATAAATCTAAAAAATTCAGAAACATTTTATCAAGTACAAAACAAATGGAATCAAGACATCAATGAATTACAAACATTTTTAATGGCTTCTGCACATTTCAAACACGAGAAAAGACACCGTTGCTGCAATTTTTC